GGCCCTGTGATATGTGCATGTGTGATCCTACAAATGGGTGGGGTCTCAGGAGGATATTTAGCTCAGTGATGTCACACTCACATGACGGCATCCACTGGACACAGGCCCACAGTGCTGCTCTCGAACCACCAACACTTATAATAAATAATAACGTAGGTGGCCCAGTGGCAGGTCCCTTGATGACAAAATCACACTACAGGCTGAATACATGCATACGTACTTTGCTCAAAAAATTTAAAGGAACACCATTTAATCAGAGTATAGAATGAAATCAGTTAAACTTCTGGGATATTGATCTGATAAGTTAAGTAGCAGAGGGGGTTGTTAACCAGTTTCAGCTGTTTTGGTGTTAAAGAAGTTAACAGCAGGTGCACTAGAGGGGCAACAATGAGACGACCCAAAAAACAGGAATGGTTTACCAGGCAGAGGCCACTGACATTTTCCCTTCTCATCTTTTCTGACTGTTTTTTTATAGGTTTTTTTTACCATCACCATCACCAGAGGATAGGTTTTTTTGAAAAGCAAGGAAACTTATAAACGTCCCAAAACTTTTGAATGGTAATATACATACATACATGTCTACATAATCGGATTTTAAATGACCCATGGCATTACTGAGACCAAATGAACAAAGAGAATGAAAAATCTATTTACCTTTCCACAGCACATCTCCGCCGATCCATCTGAGCACACACACACACATACCTGTCATGTACGTTTTATCGCATCGCTCGCTGTGAATGTGGAATGGGTGGGGCTGAGTTCCATCTGGGTGGGGCCCAGGACCACCCAGGCACACCAGTGTCACCGCAGTACCATGCGTGGATTCTTTAGACCAGGGGTGTCCAATCTTATCCAGAAAGGGTAGCAGTGTATGCCGGTTATCACTGCAGCTACCTAATTAGATTACTAATTAGAGGACTGATTGGCTGAAGAGTCCTCACACCTGGGTTTGAACAGCTGACCTACAGGTTATCCCAAAGACCCGCATACACACCGGCCCTTTATGGATAAGATTGGTCACCCCTGCTTTAGATGTTTTATCACGTTAGATTTCAAGCTAAGATGAGTTTTTAAAAAAAGTACCCTCCTGTGGTCTTTGTTAGACCAGGAAGAGCTGCTTTAGCTTCAAGCCTGAGAAAGTTAATCTCACACCAGAAGTCAAGAGAACCACACGATCTAGGGGAGGTTTGTAGAACAGGTGCCCCCTATCAAAATTAGAATCATACCTGATTGACATTATTCTTAGGTGGTATGGCGGTAAGAAATAAAGCTGCATGGGTACACATTTTTTTTAAAGCTTAATCCCGATAAAACTGCCCTCATATTAGTCAAGTCATTTTATTTGTATAGCACTGTTAAAACAACCAGTGGTTCACCAAGGTGCTTTACAACAATAAAAAGAATATGCATAAAAGGTGCTGGAAAATGTAAATATATGCAAAAAAAACATAAATAGAATACAGGAAAATGTAATAAAATAAATGCAAAATTGCAATAAAACATACTGCACATTTGTCTACAATGCCTCAGCCAATAAATGAGTTTTTCAGCCTCGACTTAAAACATTCAATGGTGGGGGCAGATCGCACATGGAGAGCAGGGTTGGGCCTGGCCACGGAGGAGGAGTGGTCGCCTTTCCTCCTCAAATGGCTGGCTGGAGAGCAGCAGCTGATTGGATGACCCCAGGGCTCTCGGTGGACAGTATGGATGTATGAGGTCACTGACGCAGGATGGCGCTCCCCCATTCAGTGCTTTAAAAACAAACAGTAGCATTTTAAAATCCACTCTAAATTTCACTGGCAACCAGTGTAACGATGCTAAAATGGGAGTGATGTGGCACGGATTTTTAGATTTGCTCAGTAGGCGTGCGGCGGCATTTTGCAGCAGCTGCAGACGAGTCAGCGCAAAAGTTTTAATCTGATTATTCATGGTAGTGTTGTTAAACCATCACCCCCACCCCTGTATGTAACCTTGTTGTTGTTTTTGATTCTGCTCTCACCTCTGAAGATCATTATAAACTATGTCTAAGACGGCTTTTCTTCGCCTCTGCAACATTACATGCCTTCGTCCTGCATTCAGTACCAAGGCCACTGAAATGCTCCTTCATGCCTTTATCCCATCATCTAGATCAGGGTTCTTCAAATCTGGTCCTTGATTCCAAATCCAGGCCTTGTTTTCAGTTCTCCCAGTTAGTTTAATAATTACTGATTCTGATTGGTCACACCTGGCTCATAGGTAAAGGAAGGCTGGAAAACCAGCAGTGCTCGGACCTTGAGGACTGTGATTTGAATAATAGGGATCTAGATAATTGAAATGCTCTGTTCATTGGTCTCCCAGCTGAATCATTACTCGAATCCAGTATATTAACTCTGCAGTCCGTGTGTTTAACCATGCCAAATGCTCAGCACACATCACCCCTATCCTCCCTGACCTGCGCTGGCTTCCAGTATTTTATCACATTAGATATAAAATTCTTCTGTTTACATATAAGGTGCTTCATGGCTGTGCTCCTCACTGCCTTACAGAATTACTTCAGCCCTCCTCTCCTGCTTGTCTTCTGGTCTGTTGTCTGTCCCGAGATGTCCCCACCATGGTCACTCAGGCTTCTAAGGTCACAGCCCCCAAACTGTGGAATTTCACCCCCCTCCCCCCCACCACCAGTGTCTTCATGTGACCACTTCTTTCCCCATATTCAAATCTCAGCTGAAGTCCCACCTCTTCTCTCTCTGCCACCCGTCTTTTTCTGATTATGGGCTGTCATTCTGTCCATTCACTTTTACTACTTTATTGTTCTTTTAATATGTTGTACTTCAAATGTTAGCCGATGCGTTTGTACTGCCACCTTGTGTCACATTATTTTATGTCAAGATGGTGAAAGACAGGAAGTTGTTTTAGTTTAGTGAAAAAGCACATGGTTGAGCATAGGAGATTGTTCCATGGAACTATTTGTTTTCACGCTGTACTTTGGACACCATTTGTCTGTAAGTGCATGTATTTATTTTGGATTGTGTTTAGTGAGGCTGATTTAGTGTGTTTTAGAATATAATTTGAATTTAGTCTGTGCTTAACATTGTTACAGAGGTAATTGTAATTGCCTTTTTAGTTGGCGACTGACAATGTAAAACTTACGTCTTGTCATCACTGATGGATTTCTTTAATGTTAACTAGCTGTCTAGTGTTACGAAGACACGCTTTCACGAGGGCAGCATAACTACAGTTTCCCTGTCATATTATTTGTGAATGTGTTTTATCTCTTTCATCTTTCATTATTTTTTTTTATTAGTTATGTCCTCTGTGACCTGTGGTGGACTGGCGATCTGCCCAGGGTGTACCCTGCCTCTCGCCCGAAGATGCTGGGATTGGCTCCAGCTTCCCCGCGACCCAGATGGGTAAAGCGCTATAGATAATGGATGAATGTCCTCTGTGAAGTGTCCTTGGGTTGATGAAAGGACAGCCCAGCAGTGTTGGGCAAGCTACTTGTAAAGTGTAGTGAGCTAAGCTATCATTTACTCAACAATAAATTAAACTTCACTACACAAAAGCTACCACCCATAGAAATATAGCAAGTTAAGTTACACAAATATGGCAAAAGTAGCTTACTACATCAGAAGCTACTTCACGTTGTACCAACCTAATGCCAGATCAGTGCAAAATGAGTCAGATACACTGGTTAAGACATTTATTAAAGAACAACCCATGATTGAACAGTGTAGACATTGCGTTATGTGAAGCATCGAGATATAAATAAAAGCTTACTTCTGGGAATAAAACAAAAAAAAAGTTATTAGCCTACTACTACACAGCAAATGTGCCAGTGTTAAATGAACACTGCATGGTGTCTATATGTGACCACACCATTCAGTGTTACCTTTAACACTTTTCATTGTGCAGTGAGTGTCACGATCCCCTCCGTTCGATCCTGATGTGTGCCACGCCCACCTCGTTACCTCGTGTGATTACCGATTGTTATCACCTGTTACCCGTTCTTTCCTGCTTGTCTTGTGTATTTAGTCCGCGTCTGAGTTAGTTTCCCAAGGTCTGTCATTGACGTCGTTTGTTGTGAAGCTCCCCTGGCTGCTTTGTTTCCTTTAATAAATCCTTTTTGACCGTGTTCACGGCTCACTTGCCTGCTTCCCGGATCGCTCGGACACGCAACCTGACAGAATGACAGACCTCAACGAAGACTCGCCTCCGCAAGCCGAGCGGCGGCGCCTCGGCTTACTACAGGAGGTGGTGTTCTGGCTAAACCACCGGAAGCTCGTGCAGCGGGTGACAACGGTGAGGATGCCCGTTACGCGGTCCAGAGCAGGGACTGACGCCCCGTCGTCATGGAGACGGCGCAGCCACCGCCAACCCCAAGCCGGAGGAAGAAGAAGAGGCGTAAGGAGAGGGCATCAGAGGAAGCCCTAACCATCTGCCTGGGAGCCGCTTCTCTCTCCTCTGCTTCGCTCCTTGTTAGTGATCAGGGGGAATCCCTGATCACCATGGACCTCACCTCGGAAGGCACCGACACGGAGGTACCTTCGCGGGCAGCTTCCCCCTTCCGGGGAACGCGGCTAGCCCTTAAAGGGGCCAGGGCCGTTTTGGAGGCGATTCCCCGGATCCCCAAGGCCCTTAAAGGGGCAGCGCCTGCACGCCCGGCGCCGATCCTGGCGCCTATTCCGGACCTGCCTGCTCCGGACCTGCCAGCAGCACCGGCTGCTGCTGCCGCCGCTCTGCCCGCGGCACCGCCTGCTGCTGCTGCCGCCGCTCTGCCCGCGGCACCGCCTGCTGCTGCTGCCGCCGATCTACCCGAGGTGCCTACTGCGGCGCCCCCTGCTGGCCATGTGAAGGCGGCGCCTGCGGAGGCGTCCCCTGTTGGCCGCACGTCCTCTCTGCCCGCGGCCCTGCCTGAGGCCGCCGCTCTGCCCGCGGCCCTGCCCGAGGCCGCCGTTCCTGTCCTGCCCGAGGGTGCCTCTCCTGTCCTGCCCGCGGCCCTGTCCGAGGCCGCCTCTCCTGTCCTGCCCGCGGCCCTGTCCGAGGCCGCCTCTCCTGTCCTGCCCGCGGCCCTGTCTGAGGCCGCCTCTCCCGTGCAGCCCTGCTCATCGGTCCAGCCGGTTCCGGACCCGCCTGTTCCCGACCCGCCTGTTCCCGTCCTGCCCGCAGCTCCAGCTGCACCGCTTCCTGCAGCTGCCACCGCTCTGCCTGCGGTATTACCCGAGGTGGCCGCGGATGTGCCCCCTGCTGACCACGTGATGGCGGTGGCCGCGGAGGGTGCATGTGGATGAGGATGCATGTGCCCGCATCACTGCTGACGCTGCACCGATCCGCCTGTCGATCTCCCGCTCCATCCTTCCCTCACTCGTGAACAAGACCCCGAGATACTTAAACTCCTCCACTTGGGGAAGGACCTCCTCCCCGACC